CAAGTATCTCATGGTCTGTGTGTCCCAGAGGACAACCTTAAGTTTCATTCTTCAGCAATCATTGGCCTGGAGCTTGTAAATTGGCTGTCTGGCCTGTGAACCCTAGTGATCTGCCTGCCTCAGTCTCCCCAGCACTGGGACTACTAGTGGGTATGACAATTACACCTAACTTTTTAAAATTAATTTATTCATTTTAAATAATCCTTGTGTTTAATAGTCCTGGTTTAAGTAAGATTGACTTATAAAGTGAATATGTTTTTACATTTTGTGTTTGTGTATCACCATAATACATGTGTGAGAATCAGAGATAACTTGGCTTTGGTCTTTTAAGGACCAAACTCAGGTTGGCATGCATGTTGTCAGGTGCCCTGACCTGCTGAGCCATCTTGTCACCCACTTTGAAAAAACTTTGTTCTGTGGTAGTACAAATGTCAGGATGGATGGAAAATAAATTTAGCAGGCAGTCATTGTCTTGATTAGCATTGTATACCTATTCTGGTAGCCATAAATGTTCCCAAAGTTCTGCCACTCTTCATTATGGTTTCTCCCAATGCTGCCAATTGACTCTTGAGCTCAAGTTCCAAAATACCAAGGGACACCAGTCTACCATGTTTGTGGTACAAACCATGAGAAAACCCATCTTCATGTGGTTAAACATCTGGGATAGGACTGCCAGTAGAATTCCCTGCCTCAGTTGCTCAGATCTACACATAGAGTTTTGTTTTGTTTTGTGTTGTTTTTAGTGTACATTGGTGTGAGTGTCAGGTCCCCTAGAACTGGGGTTACAAACAGTTGCAAGCTGGCATGTGGGTGCTGGGACTTGAACCTGGGTCCTCTGGAAGAGAAGACAATGCTCTTAACCACTGAGCCGTCTCTCCAGCCCCCACATAGAATATTTTTAAAACATAATCCAATCTAGGTATAGTATGGTAACACATGCCTTTGATCCCAGCACGTGGAGACAGGCAGACCTCTGTTTGAGGCCAATCTGGTCTGCATAGAGAGTTCTAGGTCAGCTGGGCTACATCTTAAGGCCCTGTCTCAAACAAATGAACAACAAAAGCAGTAATCCTGGCTCAGTAAATAGTACTTCATGGTTTTTCTTTCTAAAGATGATTGGATATGGTTAGTAATGTTCAACTTTTCACAAAGATGGAGACTATTTCCCCCCTCACAACCTATTGAAGTTGAATTTTCTATTTAGGTTTATATAACTCATTACAGGAATACGTTTAAAAACTAGGAAAAGAGGGGCTGGAGAGATGGCTCAGAGGTTAAGAGCACTGGCTGCTCTTCCAGAGGTCTTGAGTTCAATTCCCAGCAACCACATGGTGGCTCACAACCATCTACAATTCGATCTGGTGCATATGTAATAAATAAATCTTTAAAAAAAAAACAAAGGGCTGAGTGGCGGAGACCGCTCACACCCAGCATCCTATGTTTAAAAAAAAAAAAAACCTAGGAAAAGAGTCTCTTTGCTGTCTCAGAAGTGAGCAGGATTCACCTTAGTTTCAGTTTTTGTTCCTTACCTTGTTGTAGGAAATGGTTAAAGATGTAGAAGCAAGTGTGTGTGCGTGTGTGTACTTTCTTTTTTTTTTTAAGATTTTGGATTTTTTTCCTACATAGTATATTTTGATCATACACTTTCCTTTCCCCAGTTCCCTACCCACATAACTTCATGTTCATTCTTTCATTAAAAAAAAGTCCTTCCTAAAACAAGAAACAAAAAAATGAGAATCAAACAAAAAACTAATATGATAAATAACAAAAGAAAATAAAGCCGGGTGGTGGTAGTGCATGTCTTTAATCCCAGCACTTGCGATGCAGAGACAGGTGGATTTCTGTGAGTTCAAGACCAGCCTGGTCTACAAGAGCTAGTTCCAGGACAGCCTCCAAAGCCACAGAGAAAAAACTGTCTTGAAAAAAAAAAGAAAAGAAAAGAACAAAAAACACAACAAACCACAGAAGTCTGTTTTGTGTAGTCCTGGGCATGGATCCTGCCCTGGAATGTGGTTGATATACTTAGTGAATTGCCTCTACTTTTGTTACTAACTATATCCATTACAGTTCCCTGCATCTAAAAATGCTGTCTTTTAACTACACAAAGCTGTTTTAATATACTTTTAGTATATATAATATATGCATGTATAATAGATATAACAGATAAAGACTATTTTAACATTTTTAAGGTGATTAAGAGAAAAAAAGAGGTTCTTAGATGAGCAGTGTCCCCAGACCTTCATAATCAGAAACTCTGGGGTGTGTGCCACCAGCTGTCTGTTTTGTGATCTCCATCTGATTATATATTAAAATTTGAGAACCACTGCTCTAGGGAAATTGTTTCCTAACTAGGGTTTAATTTTCATTTCTGTTTTTGTGCAATTTTAGCTCAAGGTTTTAGTTTTTTTTAATTTTTATATTTTGTTTTTATTTTTATTTTTGTTTGTTTTTTTTTTTTTTGTTTTTGAGACAGAGTTTTTCTGTGTGGCTTTGGAGCCTGTCCTGACACTGGTTCTGTAGACCAGACTGGCCTTGAACTCACATAGATCTGCCTGCCTCTGCCTCTCAAGTGCTGGGATTGAAGGTGTACACCACACCACCTGGCAGATATATTTTTTATACACCGGTATTTTGCTTGCAGATATGTCTGTACCACATGCATGTCTGGTGCCTTTGGAAACCATAAGGGAGTGTTGGATCCCTTGGAACTGGAGTGACAAATAGCTGTTAGCCATGTGAGTACTGAGAACCAAACCCAGGTCCTCTGCAAGAACAGCAAGCGCTGAGCAATCCCTCCAGCCCCAAGTTTCAGGGTGCTGATATTGTTACCGTTTTTCTTTGTTTTTCATTTTTGGGGTTTTGTTTATTTTTGAGATGTGGCCTCTGTAGCCTAGGGTGACCTTGAACCCATGGCAGTCCTCTTGCCTTAGCCTTCCGAGTGTTAAGATTATAAGCATTTCAGGGCTGGAGAGAGAGTTCAGTGACTGCTAGTGTTGCAGGGTAGAGACAAAAGACCACTCAGCATGACCAAAGTCGGAATTGAGATTCTGTTTTAGACCAGTTAAAGACTTGTCTAGAGAGAACCACTTGTAGAGCATTCCTGAATACATTGTCTGGGGAGCTTTTAAAAACAAAGATCACAGAACAACTACATCTTGATTGGCAGTTGGAGAAGGAAGTAAAGAAAGCAAGTAGCTTAACAGAAGCCAAAACATTCCATTAGCTGGGGCATTTCAACCCTGAGTTTCTAGAACAGGGTTGGGTACTTTTCACAGCTGGAGGGTGGGGAATAAAACAGGGATCAGAGTTAGTTTCAGTTTCAACCACAGATGGCTATGGCTGAGACAAGCTACAGGAATCTTTACCCTGTTACAACTAGGACTTAAGTGATCTTACAGAGGACCTGGGCCTTGTTTCCAGTACTCACATGTTAGGTAGCAACCATCCATTTCTCCAATTTCAAAGAAGCCAGTATAAATCTAAATTTTCTTTTTTTGAGACAGGGTTTCTTTATAGAGTCCTGGCTGTCCTAGAACTTGTTCTGTAGACCAAACTGGTCTGTAACTCACAGAGATCCATCTGCCTCTGCCTGCCAAGTGCTGGGATTAAAGTTGTGTGCCACTACTGCCCAGCAAAACAAATTGCTTAAAAACGCATTTCACGTAGTGACAAGAACATGGTGTCACACTGAATTCTGGGTTATTAAATAGTTATGACAAGTTTATTTCCTTGAGCTATAATTTTTCATATTTGAAATGCTGTTGAGAACATTTATCTCCATATGTGATTTCTAATAAAATCTTATTAAGAATAACTTGCAAATAACCCACACAGTAAAATTATATTTCAGTGAACAGTACAGTTATGTGGTAGCTTGAATGAGAAGTCCCCCCGTAGTCTCATATGTTTGAATGGTTGGCTTCCCTACCAGTTAGTGTAACTTTTTTAGAATGATTGGGAGGTATGGCCTTGTTGGATGAAGTGTATCACTAAAGGTGGACTTTGAGTTTCCAAAAGCCCAGGCCAGACCCAGTCTCTCTCTGCCTGCTGCCTACAAATCATGATGTAAAGCTACCACCTATAGGTAGGACCATGCCTGTCTGCTTCCTGCCATGATGATCACAGACTAACCCTCTAAAACTAAACAGGCCTTCAATTAAATGCTTTCCTTTATAGGAGTTGCCTTGGTCATGGTATCTCTTCACAGCAACAGAAAGAACATTAAGACAGGTTAGAATAGCTATTCTGAACATAAATGGTTTTTTTTTTCCTCATGCCAGGGTTTCTATGTGTAGCCTTAGCTCTCCTGAAACTCAGTCTGTAGGCCAGAATGGCCACAAGCTCACAGAGATCTGCTTGCTTCTGCCTCCCGAATACACCACCATGCCTGGTATATGCTTCTTTTAATAAGATACCATGAAGTATGTAGTACATTGTCAGGTTCTCAAAGATTGTAGACAATTGTCTTTAACAGTTTTTCTGGTTAGCAAAGAGTGCTTGTCTCCATTTGTTCTAAACTTCTAGTTTTTCTTCGATGTATTTTACTGTTGTTTGTCTCTGAGCCTTTGTATTAGCTACTTTCTTTAACAAGCCTCCTACAACCTGTTACCTCACTAATTTCTATGCATCCTTCTGATTCCTGGCTGGTCTTCCTAGTTCCCACACCCCAGTCTGAGTAGCTACTTGCATATCTCCTTATCATACTTCAAAATCTCTCATCTCCCACATTAAGTGAGGGCAGGGACAGACATAATGTCTTGTTCCTACCACATTCCTAGGCACCTGTGAAGTGTGTCACACCTTATAGGATAAATGGTAAAGGAATGATCATTGCCATTTTTGTCTGGCTTATAGTTTTTGTGCTAGTTGCTTGTCATGGTCATAGTAGGTATTGTAAGGTCAAGTGCATTTTTCTTTGTCCCTGAAGCATGTGTTTTGCTTTGATGGAGATGAACTTCATAAACTCAATTGCTTACTAAGCACTTATCCCTCTATCACAGGTACCTTGGGAGAGCTAGATGCCCTGATGGATCAAGTTCATATGCAGAACCCAGACTGGCAGCATCCTTCAGATCTTACTACACGGTAAGTGGGTCTTCTTCCTTCTGAAGGAGAAAGGGCTAGAATTTGGTTGCAAGGGAATATGATGAGCTGTTTGTTCCCAGAAAAAGAAACGTAGTATTAGAATGAACTAAGAATTGGACCACAATTCAGGTTTTAGTACTGGATGCACAGTGTCTAACTGACTGGCTCTATTGTGATACCTCAATTCTGTGGTTATCAGTAAACTTTCTATAATTGTGTGCATGTGATGCGTATGAGAGGAGGACCTGTGTTCGTGGTAAATGTATAGTCAAGTGAGTTCTCTCCTTCCACTTTACATGAGTTCCAGGGGTTCAACTCAGGTTGTTAGGTTTCTGCACAAAGTGCTTTTGCTCACTGAGCCATCTTGCTAGCCCCAATACAAGAGTCATCTTCTCCTCTTTTCTTCCACTTCATCTTCCTTCATTGCTACAAGGTCTTGCTACTCAGGCCAATCTCACCTCCCATGTCTTATTTGTTATGTAGTCATGCATTGCCATACCCAGCTTCAGTATCTAGGTGCTAGACTGGGCAGAGTGGCACACACCTTTAATCACAACACTTGGAGGCAGAGGCCAGTGAGTTTGAGGCCAGTCTGGTCTACAGAGTGAGTTACATTATAAGTTCTAGGCCAGCCAGGGTTGCATACTAGTCTGCCTCAAAATAAACAAACAAACAAACAAATAAATGCTTTGCCATAGGGTCTCCTTATGTAGCCAGGCTAACTTCAGAATCATGATCTTTCTGCTTCTCCTTCCTGGGTGGCAAGATTATGGGCATGTACTATCACATGTAAACTAAAATCTGGGTTCTTGGGCTGGCAAGGTTGCCCAGTGAGTATAGGCAGTTGATGCCAAGCCTGTCAACTTGTGTTCATCCCCAGAACTTACATGGTAGAAGGAGAGAACCAACTCCTGTAAATTGCCCTCTGGTTTTCACACTTGAACTGTGGTACACAAGTACCTGCACACAAATGCACATGTATACACACACACACACATACACACACACACACACACACACACACACACAATTAACAAACAAATAAATGCCTTAAAAAATCTGTGTTCATGATGCAGTACAATTTTAACTTTAATTCAATGACTCAAAAACCTTAGGGCAGGCATGGTGGTACACGCCTTTATTCCCAGCACTTGGGAAGCAAAGGCAGGTAAATCTCTGTGAATTTAAGACCACCCCAGTCTACATAGTTCCAGGCCAGCCAGGTCTAAATAGTGAGACCCTGTCCTTTAAAAAGTAAAAATCACAAAACAGTTAAGCCTTGATGTTACTATATGTTTCTCTCACATTCCATATTAGGACATCAGGAAATCATAGACTCTACTTATATGCCCTGTCAGTGCTTGCTTACAAGCCAGAGAGAGTCTTTTAAAGCACAAGTCAGGTTACCTTCTTTCTCACTCTTTCCATTGGCTTCCAACCAGCTAGCTATCCTCGGTCCTCTAAGAATGTCTGTGTGCTTTGCTGAGCTCACCAACCTCATCTACTACCGTTACTGCTTACTCTGTTCTAGTTATTCTGGTTTCCATCAGAGCCACAGCACTTAATCCCAGCACTCTGGGGGCAGAAGCAGGATAATTGCTATAAATTTTAAGCTATCTTGGGGTACATGGCAAATTCCGTGATACATAACAAGGGGGGAGAGGGAGAGAGAAAATATAAGCAGTTCTCAGATGGTGTGGGGATGTTACTCAGTTATAAGCTCTACTACACACACCACACACACACACACCACCTCAAAAAAAGAGGGGACAATGTAACATAGTTGTTACAAAATACATTTTGGAGTCAGATAAATCTAGGCTTTTCTTCCTACTCTATGTGGCCTTGGGAATGTTACTTAACCTGAGGCTTAATTTCTTTACTAGTGTAGAAGTTAATGTCAGCACTTTTCTTTTTTTTTTTTTTTTTTTTTTTTTTTTTTTGGTTTTTCGAGACAGGATTTCTCTGTATTGTTTTGGAGACTGTCCTGGAACTCCCTCTGTAGACCAGGCTGGCCTCGAACTCACAGAGATCCACCTGCCTCTGCCTCCCGAGTGCTGGGATTAAAGGCGTGCACCACCAACGCCCGGCATGTCAGCACTTTTCTAGTAGGAATTCACTAATATTAACTTAGATGGGGTGTTTAAAGAATTCAGTAGATAGTGTCATATAGATAAAAGTCAAATACTGTTAAAATTATTTTAAACCTTGGCAGCTTCTCACAACTATCTGTGTAATGTCCCAGCCTTAACTCCAGGGAGAAAGGGTCTAAGAATCCTTTTTTGAGTCAGTATTATTGCAAAGCCCATCTGGACACTTAACCACAGCACGCGCATGGAGGTCAGAAGACAGCTCTCTTTCCTCGTGTGAGTTCTGGGCATTGGATTCAGGTTTGTTAGGTTACTTGCAAGTACCTTTACCCATTGGACCATCTTGCTGATCCTTGCCTTGGTCCTCACCAGTGTTAGGATTGCATGTGTGACCCCCACCACACCTAGCTAAGGATCTGTATCTTTTACTAGCTTCCCAAGTGATTTTTGGCAATATTTTTTTAACTTAAAATCTGGTCAAATTATTAAGGGTCTTTCTCAGAAACCACACCCAGAACAGGTGACTCTCAAGCTTTACTATGGGCCTGTGTTGTTGGTTATTCAGTCTCTAAACTTACCATATGATAATCACATGATGACTTACCTTCTCTGGGAATTCTCTTTTTATCTAATTTTAACTGATGTGGCCTAAGCAACTTTGATCTGTATGACAGTGCAGTCCTGTAGGAGGCCTAGGTCTGATGAATTAGTGAAACACAGATCCTACTCTTAAACACTTCTATAGAGAGACAAAACTATTTTTGATTTTTGAGGCAGGGTCTTATGTAGCTCACATTGACCTCTAACTCATGAAGCTGAGAATGTCTTTACCTCACATTGCTGGGGGTTACTGGTATATGCCACCATGCCTGGCTCTTAAACATTATACATTAGGCACATACCATGACAATACCTGTGTAAGAATGAGGTGACTTTGTAAATTATAAGGAAATAGCATTTATGATATGGCTACCATATAATTATAATAGTATAAAATTTCTGAAATTGTAACATCAAAATATACAATTAGCCCTGCATGGTGGCAAATACTCCCAGCACTCAGGAGGCAGAATCAGGTAGATCTCTGTGATTTTGAGGTTAGCCTGGTCTATATAGTGGGTTCCAGGACAACTAGGACTATGTAGAGAGGCACTGTCTCAAATAAACAAATAACAGCATATATAATCTGATTTCTAGGAGTGAAAGTATCTTTAAAAATAGTTGTGATAGCAGCCAGGCATAGTAGCACATACCTTTAATCCCAGCACTCGTGATGCTGAGGCAGGTGGATCTCTCTGAGTTCGAGGCCAGCCTGGTCTACAAAGTGAGTTCCAGGACATCCTGGACTACAACACAGAGAGAACCTGTCTTGATCAAACAAACAAACAAAAAAATTAGTTATGGTAGCTGTTTTGTATCTAAATGACCATTCCAACTGAAAATCCTTCCTGTATTTACTCTCTCCTCAATAGAAATTATGCCCGGTTCCGACAGAAACCTCTACAAAGGTACAGTCTGAGTCAGTGGGTCGACAGAAACAAGCGGAGCCACCATCGTTTCCAGCGTCTTCCAGACTTCTCTTACAGTCCATATGTTTCATCTCATCCGCAGTGACAGTCCCTACCCAGGGTCTGGTCATAGCAACATCTTATTTTCCTCTGCTATTTTTGTTTGTATATTTTGAGTTTTATTTTTCACAAGATTTTTATTTAAAGAATTTATCACCTTTTGGAAATGCCCATTACTGTCTTTGAGATTTTTTATGAGGATCCTCCCAATTTGTGTCTGTCTATACATGTTTCAGCAATATTCAGTAGTATTTTTCCCTTCCTTCCTTCCTCCCTCCCTCCCTCCCTCCCTCCCTCCCTCCCTCCCTCCCTCCCTCCCTCCCTCCCTCCCTCCCTCCCTCCTTCCCTCCCTCTCTCCCTCTTTCTCTGCCTTCCTTTTTTCTTTTTAGTTTAAAATGAAGGTAGCTCCCCTTTGAAGGCTTATGTAAATACCAGCTCTAAGCACAGTGGTAATGTACTTGTAGTACCCCAAGGAAATCATCTTCCATCTACTGTAAGGAAGAGATTGTTCTGCAGGCTACAAGCCAGTGTTACTGTTGATGACTCGTTCATAGGTAGAATTCCTCTTTTTAAATTTGAGTCTCTTGAGTACTTGTCAGTATTTTAAGGTTGGCAATTTGGGACATTTAAAATAAGATGGAGTAGGAAAATAGTCCTGTTGAAAGGATAGGTTAAAAATGTAACTCCTCTTCTTTCTGTGCCTACTAGCTACCTTTATTTTTTAAACCATTGGCTGTTTTCATTCTCTGTTAACTATATCTTGCTCACAGTGTTTGTAAACCTTACACATCTTAACTGACAGGCGATGGCTGACTAACCCTTGTTGAATATTCCATAGTTTTGTGACTGGTTGGTTTCTCTGTCCCTTCAAGGATTCCTCCATTCCCAGTGACCACTCTGCTCCTGGAATTTTTACAGGAGATGTTCTTACGTCCTGTTAGATGTAGACATGCCTTTCAGAATGCCCTCTGTTTTCTGAAGAACTTCTGACAGAATCTTGCCTTGGTGATGGGTCACTTCCATTGAGATGTCTGGGAATCTTCAGTTTCATGTGCAAAACCCCAAGTTTATGTGTTGGTGTAATCCTAGGAGCCTCCTTCCTATTGAAGTCTTTGAAGAGGCATTTTTTCCTCTGTAGTTAACTACAGGTACCTTTACAACCCTGTATGTTAATATTCAGTTAGACTCCATCGTTTCTCATTAGTGCTCAAGAACATCTAGGGAAATTAGGATTGAGCCTACGCATCACAAATTACCTGCTCTCAGGTAAGGCTTGGTGTTCTAACCAAAGCTGAGAGGCTTTGTGTGTCTGTCTTAATGGATGTCTTACAGCTGTAGACATCATTTAGGAGTTCATGCTGCTATCATTCATTCTGTGAATGTTATTCATAGTTGTGTAGCCTCTGTCTGGTTTTCTTTCATATGTCTTATTTTTTATGTGGACAACCCATCGTAAATGCTAAATAACCCATCCTACTCCACTGTAGAAAAGTGATTCTGTTTTTGGAGGGGAAGGGTTTTGAGATAGTGTTTCTCTGTGTAGCCCTGACTGTCCTAGAACTTGCTCCATAGACCAGGCTGGCCTCACTCAGAGATCTGCCTACCTCTGCCTCTCAATTGCTGGGATTAAAGGCGTTCCTCACTACCATTTGGCTAAAAAAGTGACTTTGATTTAGAAAATCTTGATTTTTTTTTTATCCTAGCCTTCAGTGGGTTTGAGTAAATATTCCTAAATATTTGTTGGTTTTATCCAGTCAAGGGTTTTCTTTCTTTCCTCTCCCCCTCCCTCCCTCCCCCCTTCTCTCTCTCTCTCAAGAGTTTTCTTTCTTCCCTTCCTCCCCCCTTGAGACAGGGTTTCCTGTATAGTCAAGGTTAGCCTTCAATGCAATATTTAGCCCAAGATGGTCTTGAACTTCTGATCTTCCTGCCCCTCCCCTCAAGTACTGGGATTACAGGTGTGTATCACTATGCCCAGCAAGAATCCCCCCCCCCCCAAGACAGGTTTCTTTGTGTAGTCCTGGCTGTCCTAGTACTCACTCTGTAGACCAGGCTGACCTCTAACTCAGAGATCCACCTACTTCTGCCTCAAGTACTGGGATCAAAGGCATGTACCACCAATGCCCAGCTTTTGACTTTTTTTCCCCTAGCAAGGATTTTCTATTCCTTAGTTCTTTGGTTTAGATCCTGTGATTAGACCTTCAAAGGCAGTAAGTAGTCTAGTCTCTTCTCTTAGTTGTTATAATTTATTGTTTACTTCATTGGTCACTTGTCCAAGATGCTGTAAGTTAGCCAAATGGGATGAGGTATGCCAAATAATCTACCTTTGGGACCAAGCAAAGTTAAAATTTAGTCTAGCAGGAGCAGTTGGCGTACTGGCTGAGTAGTTCCAGTTCCCCACAGATAACACAGGGAGTGAAGGACAGCATTTGCTTAGGCAAAAATCTGAGATGCTCTTGCTCTCCTGGTACTGGGGGGTTGAAGACTGAATGTATAATGGGAGCATTGCCTTTGCCAAATCAGATGAGTGACAGGTTAACTAGAAAATGTGACAATCACATTTCCTCTAGCTCAGATAATTCTGTTTTTCCAAAGTGTTAGCAGCCTAATTAAATCTGTTGAACTGGGGGAGGAGAGAGCTGTTCTCTGGTGGTTAACATGGTATTCTTTAAGGAGAAAAACAAAGCCAAAGAAAACTCATTTATCTGGCATGTTAGCCATAAAGATGGTAATGGGCAGAATCCAGAGTTTTAATCTCTTCAGAGCTGCATATCTCTTATCTTATATTTGGTACTGGCTTCTAAGTCTTGTATTGCAGATTAAATTCTTGTTGTATTCTTAAATTTGAGTGAGGGTTATGTGCATTTAACTGTACTTAGCGTTTATTGTCCACGATGACATTTTTACCACAGGGGTCTTGACAAAGCAAAGTAAAATTTGCTGTGTAAATAGTTTACTTGTAAGTAAGGAGCCTGAGATAACCAATAGTTTTGCATCTAATATGGGCTCTTATTTACTTGCATTGTTGTCAGGATCAATTATGAAACTTAAGTTTGGTGCCGTCTTTTTTTTAATCATGTTTTTCCCCTTGTAGCAGTTGTGTTTAATGTCATTAAAAAGAAATAAAAGTTCTTGTCAGTGGCATATGTACTGTGGCCGTCTGTTTCGGGCTTCGGAGGAGGGTTCTTTGCCTTCCACTGCGTAGGTCGTTTGGTAGGATATGGGAGGGTGGCAGCATTTAGGAGGGAAGGAGGTGCTTGCTCCCTGCTCTTTTGAGGGTAAATTACAGTGTTGAGGAAGGCGTTCCCACAGTTAAGAAATGTCGAGATTGATGGGGGTTTGCAGCTACATACAGTGCATGTTGGGAGCCTGAACTATCACTGTGCTGCTGTTTTTGCAGAGGGGGAAAACTATGCAGCAACATTAGGCACATAGTTCCTCGTGTTCCTTCCCATGACTCCCTGGTTGGCCCCTGTGTCTTTCTCTTGAGCTAGCACTGACCAAGGAGGAAATCATGCTGCTCCAAGGCAGTTCTCCCTTTGAAGATAGGAGAAACCAGAATCAATTATTTTAAATTGGTGGTGGTTCTTAACCCAACTTCTCCAGAAATTGTTGCTCCCAGAAACTGGCGTGAAGATGGATGTGGGTAGGTAATGGAGAGACAGCATTCTTCAGATGCCTTTCATGAACCTAATCTTAGACTGACTCCCTAGGAGTGCGAATACTAGAGCAGCGATGACAGATCGTCACCTGCAGTAGCCAGTGCTGTGGAAAAATAGCAACATTCTTGGACAGGCTGTTCAATCATTTATTTTTCTTATTTTACACGCTTTGGTGTTTTGCCTGCATGTATGTCTGCCAGTGTGAGAGTGTCAGATCCCCTGAACTGGAGTTACAGGCAGCTGTGAGCTGCTTTTGGGTGTTGGGAATTGAACTCAGGTCCTCTGTAAGAGCAACTAGTGCTCTTTACTGCTGAGCCATCTCTCCAGCCCCATGGAGAATGTTTTTGAGACAGTCTCACTATGAAACCCAAACTGGCCTCAAAAGTGAAGTTATGCCTCCATCTCCAGAAAGGAAGGCGATTACAGGCAAGTGCCACCATGCCAAGTTCTAGATTACAGGCAAGTGCCACCATGCCAAGTTCTATCTAAATTTTGTTGTGTGTGTATCTGTGTGTATTCTAGACAAAGCCATATTTACTCTAAGCAGAAGACTGTACGGAAATGTGGTAAGCACTTAGCTATCTGATACGCTTGTATAATATTTTTGACTTGCATATGTGCATTGTTCCCGTCAAGTGTAGAGGATCTGTTGGTAATTATTTCCTGTTTCACCCCAGGCATCAAAGGTTTCAAAGACCAGGATGAAGTCTCTAAAATGATGGTGTCTCATACCTTCCATTCATCTTGTTACAGAGAAGTGGGTAGGAGGAGAAACTAACTTTCTCTATCGGGAGCAGGCTCACTCTCCAAGAAGCCCATCTTGAGATTTTATAGGATGAGAAACCAATGCCCTGTTTTCTAGGAGAAAACAATTATTCCCCAAACAATTGCAGGGTGCGTGCGTGCGTGCGTGCGTGCGTGTGTGTGTGTGTGTGTGTGCGCGCGCGCGCGCGCGAGTGTGCGTGCACACATGCCAGGGCACCTGTCGGGTAAATGTTTCCATTTGTCACAGAAAGAGTCAGCTGGTCAATGTTGGAATTCCTTAGTGAACAAACACCTGCCCTGACATTCCAACCCATTTATTCCCCGGTAACAGCTGGAACATGTAGTTGGAAAATCTGGCCTTCCTCAACACCCAATCAGAAACGGGAGGAATATGATCTTTGGGGTAACCTTTAGAAGTCTAAGTGACAATCCTGAAATGTATCACCAGGCTACGATCTGTATACAGGAATTTTCTTAACTTAGCCTTGGGCCCTATTTTCAGGTTTGGTATTTTTTTCACACATGGACTTGTCCTGGGGGCAGTCAGAGTGTCCTGTTTATAGAAGCCATTCACTCCTGGAGGTACTTTTTTTTTTTTCTCTCTCGAGACAGGGTTTCTCTGTCCTGGAAGTAGCTCATGTAGACCAGGCTGGTCTTGAACTAACTTGCCTCTGCCTCCCAAGTGCTGGGATTAAAGGCATGCACCACCAACGCCCGGTGTCCTGGAGGTACTTCTTAAAAGTAAAATTCACTAAGAAAAACGTAGAGTAGAAGTCTGAAAGATTGTCATAAATGACCTGGTGAAATTTTATGTGTGTCTGTAAAGGGCTGGATTTGATTTCACAGGATACCTGTACTGAAAGGCTAGGGGTTAGAAGACAGGAGAAAGGACCCTGCTTCAGATTCCCAGCAGTCTTCCTCCTCCTCCTAGCTCCTTGACCTCCACTGTATTTCTAGGACAGCCTTTAGTCATTATCCTGGGTGGGTGGGCTCTGGAAATCCTCTTTGCATATGGTGTTGGTAAAAAGGAAGTTCATTCCACCCCCAGAGAAGTGCTGCCCAAGGTCAGGGTCTCCTGCCTTTCTTCCCACAGGACTGCTGTGGTCTTGGTCTCAGAGCTTTCCCAAATCATCTGAGAGGAATGGAGGGACCACTTCTCGAATAATGGCTGTAAAGTTTGGCCGTAAATAACAATTTCAAGAAGAGTCCAATTCGGGGCTGGAGAGATGGCTCAGAGGTTAAGAGCACTGACTGCTCTTCCAGAGGTCTTGAGTTCAATTCCCAGCAACCACATGGTGGCTGACAACCATCTACAATTCAGTCTGGTGTATATGTAATAAATAAATAAATCTAAAAAAAATTATAATTTAAAAAAAAAGAAGAGTCCAATTCTTATTTCAGGAGGAGGAGGACCGGAACCTTAAGCTAAAGGAGCAATTTGCTCCCTCCAGATCCTCTGTGGTGTATCACAGGTGTAGATGAACAGGGAACCTTGATCCCAGCTAACAGGGCTCTCCAAACCCCACTAACTACCTCCACCTAATGCTTCTCAGTTTGAATACATGAGCAGAGAGAGGCTTCTAAGACCTACCTTTCCCTCTGCTCTCAGAACCTGAACAGCCTCCTCCAGGCACTGCACATCTGACGTTCTGTCCGCTGCCTCTGGACAGGAATGTTGGAGGTGCCCCCGTTTCCTGGTTCGCTCATTGGTTAATGGCATCCTACTCTGCCTGCCTTTCAGCCTGCTGTGGGGATCTTAATGCTGTCCCTTTAACAGCCGGGAAGATGCAGAGTGAATACAGAATGATGTCTGCAGAAAGCAGCCTTTGCAGCTCTTCGCTCCTTCCTTACCCACCCCAGAAAAGAGCCAGGGGCCTCCAGCAGGAGTAAGCACACGGTGCTATCCTGAGGGGGAACCCTTTGTTGTAAGAAGCTGAGCAGGCGCCTGCATACCTATGTGGTGAGGCAGCCCGAGCCGAGCTTAGAGAGGAGCCTCTGAGAGAGGGTGACAGAGCAGCTACCTTCTACACGTGCACCCCCATCTGTTCGAGAATTCCCTTCCAACTCCAGCTTGGCGGGCAGGCATGTCCCTAAGAAGCAGCAGGCCAAAATGGAAGAGAACTGACTCCCTCCTCCACACATCCTGACTTGCTGCCAATTGCCAGAAAAAGAGGGCAACATTTGGGCATTTACCAGAGGACAAGGGTGTGCCTTTTCATTTGTCTTTATTTTACATTTAAAAAGTGGTTATTGCTCTAACTGGATCGAGGTAAGGACCTCTCGTAAGGAGCCTTGGCCTTGCAGCCCCATTCAGCAGGGATGGAAGTCACAAGACAATGAGTGGAACCTCATGCCCTCCCAGGAGGAAGCCCTTAGTATTGCTGACATCTGCCCTTGTCTGTCTGTCCTCCCCTGTGCTGCCACACGGAGCAAACAGGGTAGTGGCTGACCCAGCCTTGAGAGCTGTTATAGACCCAAATGAGGGGGCAGTCATTGGGTGATGGCTTTTAGCTCTCTGACTTGGGCACCAGTACTCATCATTCAGTACAACAAACACCAAGCACTATGTTCCCTACTATGTGCTGGGAACAGCCTCCCACACTGCCTTGGTCACCAATGGAAGATGTAGAATTCACTTTTCCCATGCAGGCATTTGGCAGCCATGTGCATCAGTCCCAGAGAAGTCTACTTGCCTCATCAAGCACCTTAAAAAAAAAAAAAGAAACAGAAAGGGGCAGCAGAGAGGAAAAAGAGAACAGAACACTAGCTGTCACTTCACACTTCAAGCTCTAGGTAAGGACATAAGAACCCTGGATAACTTTCATAGGACCCTGAATGAGATGGCAGGATCCAAAGACTCAGAGGCCAGTCAGTAATGATAGCGAAGCTGCTCTCTGTCTGGTGAATGGCTTTCTTCGGGTCGCTCAGCAGCCCCTAGGGTGTAGGATATAGCTGTGCCTTTTCGGTTATCCAAGCTGACAGTGCTGCAACGCCGAGGCACTGCCTTTAAAAGTGGGCAGTACCTTCCAGGTCTCAGAACTCCACACTGATGCTCTCACCACAAAGATGGAAGATGCTGGCCGTCAGCTCAGGCCTCGCTCGGCAGAGCCCTCCCCTCTGATTGTGTTTTCCAAGAGTCAAAACAATAACATCACACACATTTGCAAAGCTGTGCCTCCCACTGCAGATGTCCTGTTTGGCCGGATGCAGAACGGGCCTGATGGAGTCGAGACCCTGAAAAGCAGCAACCCCACAGCTTCGCTCCAGCCAGGCTTGGTGCTTGCTCTCTCCCAGAACTTTGTGCATTACCTCAAAGAGGAAGCCAGTCCAGAAGCCAGGAGGTGGAGGATGCGGCTCACGCAGCATTGCTTTCTCCAGCGTGCAGCCAGGCCTTGTAGCTTTGTGGCTCATTTGATTTTTTTCGTCAGAATTTGGGTTATAGTTCAGCCTCCACCGTGAGACTTAAGGTGGGGGAAAGGAACTATGGCTAGCTGTGCCCCCGCTTTAGTCAGCTTTCACCCTATGCCCAGGAAGGACTCGGGGACGAGCAGACAATGAAACCCCTCCCCTGCAGATGGGGCCAGCCACACTTGATATTCACTGAGGGCTTGTTTGGAGACTGGGAAGGCAACAAACAAGAGAAGTGACCAGAACTGTAGAGTAGACTTCTTGCAAGATGGCAAGCAGGGCAGAGGAGGGGAGGGCCAGCAGGGCTCTTGACCTCCCAGGAAGAAAAGGAGAGCCCTGCCTGGAAGTCTCTTTTCTCTGCCCTTTCACACACAGCCTGCGGCCAAGCTGAGTGGCCAAGACGAGTCCTCGGCCGAGAACCCTGGCACCCAGTCTACCTGCAGCAAAGACATCCCTCTGGCTGGTTCTCACATCCGCAGTTCTGTCTCTGGGAACAGCCTCAGCCACTGACATTGTTAAGGTGCTCCTGGAGTTAGGGGTTAACAAGAGGCTTCAGGACAAGACATCAGAAAGAGAGAAGCCAAGAGAGGAGATAGTAAAGCCCAATGATAGGAGAAGATGGACGGGGGAGGAGATGCAGAGAGGGCCAGATGTTTGCTGGACAGTCATCGTCAGAACAGTGAGGTCCTCTCACATTCTCTACTGTCTTCTGAGCTGCTCAGAGCAAGCACTGAGAAGGCTTCATATCTGTTTTCATGAAAGAGCAAATGGAGGATCAGACATAAAACGCCACCCAGGCACATCACCCCCACATGTGCTGTCCCACATCAAGCAGGAACTCTGCCATTCCCATTGGCTGTCTTTATAAAAACAAAACAAAACAATACACCACTGGCCCTTGGCACCCTGCAAGAGGCGAGGATCCAAAATCAATTTGCAGTGTCCCCTGTGTCACATAGGCAGCAGCCAAGCTTGGCTTTGCCTAGCTGCTGCCATGCCAGGCCCTGAGCTGACCCCTTCTGCAGTCCAGGGACTATAAATGTTTAAAGCACAGGACCACCCATGAAGCCCAGGTGTTAGCCTCACCTTGCTGCGGAGGAGACCCCCACCCTGGTGCTCTGGTGTGCTGGTTTCTGATGCACTCTTGGTTTTTTCCTTGTTGTTATTGGGCTCATTGTCCTTGATGATGTCGTACTGGCGGCAGAAGAGGGCTATAACACCTGGGAAGACAGGCAGGAGCAGTCAGAAGCCTGGGTCTGAGTTCTTACCTTGCCTGACTTATCCCCTCCAGGGCTTGCTGCCATCTCCAGATGACCTCTATGCTGCTGCAACCTCCTTCCAGCTGCTGCCTCCTTTTTCCACCTACCCGGACACAAGCCATCCCTGTCACTGCTGCCAGGCTGGCCTCCCACGGCATGGGTCTGATCATGTCTCCCCGTTACCCTTTCTTTTAAGCCTCTGACAGCTACCACAGGACCGATAAAGACATTTGCTGAGCCTATGCCAGGCTCTGTGCTGTCTGAACTGACGTATTCAATCTCATTTGATCCTTACGACTCCAATCTATTATTATTAGCTCTGGGGCACAAGGGAACATACTGGTGAGGGTGTCGGTAACTCAAGGTCACACCTTGGTATGGCAGGAGGGAATGCACAGAGGCTGCTTACTGTCTACTGCTGGCCTACTAACATGCAGATAGCATTCACATTAACTCCAGTTGGAGAAATGGTCCCCATTCTGCCTCTGTAGTGTTCTTGATCCGTCTTAGGTAGCTCTCAACTTGCCATCATAGTAGATGAAGCCCAACAACTGCTCTTTCCCTCCCCGCATCCCAACAGACTTCCACCACAAGTTTGAGTTAAATTTCTGTTTATAGTGTTGTGATTATGTAAATACTGTGTGTGCCAAGCCTAATAATATACCATACACAAACCTCCTCTTTTGTCTAACCCTCATCCTCCTGCCTTTTCTCAGGTACCTGTTTTTCTATGTGCATAAGAAACAGTGGTCCAGCCGGCGTTGGTGGCTCACGCCTTTAATCCCAGCACTCGGGAGGCAGAGGCAGGCGGATCTCTGTGAGTTCAAGGCCAGGCTGGACCGACAGCCTCCAAAACAATACAGAGAAACCCTGTCTCGTAAAAATCAAAAAAAAAAAAGAAAGAAAGAAAGAAACAGTGGTCCCTGTCCGTGTGTGGTGTCCCCCCCCACACACACACCTAGGGGCTGGAGAGATGGCTCAGAGGTTAAGAGCATTGCATGTTCTTCCAGAGGTCCTGAGTTCAAGTCCCAGCAACCACATGGTGGCTCACAACCATCTATAATGAGGTCTGATGCCTTCTCCTGGGGTACATGCATGTACACAGATAAAAAAAAACTGTATGCATAATAAATAAATAATTAAAAAAAGAAACAGTTCTCCTGCCCCAAATGCTTCTTCAACAGTCTTCCCTCCACCACCATGGTAATCAGACTTGAGTATGGTGTTCACATTTCTCAAAAGACTAATAGCCCTCAGCCTCTCTATCTTATTCCCAACATTCCATCCTCTCTCACAAGCCGCAGCTACCCTGAGTCAGTCTGTGAGCTTACTTTGTTGTTTCTTGAACCTCATCCCACCCATGTGGCCAAAAGGTACACTGTGGACATAGCCACCCTAGGAGGCTGGACCACGTATTGCACGGACAAAGGCAAGTGTACCCACGCTTACAAGATAGCAGTAACATGCTGTGTTTGGGCAGAGAGGACTAGAGAAGGAGTCAGATTTAGCTCTCAGAGTTGCCACAGGCAGGATTTAGGAGTTTCACCCCCTCCTAGACCTCTCCAAGCCCCTCACCCTTGGTGATGGTTGGTTGGGATCCTCATTTCCTCAGGGGTCAGTGAAGAAGGATCTGGAAGCCTCACTCACCTGCCCACATGAAGAGGACTACGACAATGATCAGCACCTCGCCTGTTCGTAGCTGCTGGTTCCTCCCCATCTCCTTCATGGTCACCTCATCTGTGGGAGAGAATAGCTAGTCCGGGGCTCCTTCCCTCCCCAGCCATTCCTCCGGGGCCAAGGCCACAACAAGAAGTGCCACTACCAATGCCAAGACATCCGACATAGAGTTCCAGGAACACTGTGAAGGCTGCTTGGGGTGGCAGCATTTGGACTCCATCCAAAGGAGGAAGTTTATGCACCATCTCCTCTTGGGACTAAAGCAAACCTCCTCAAACGTCTTTTGAGTTGCTTTGTTTCCCTCTGGCTCTGCCCAACTGCCCTAGCCTACCTGCCCTTTCCCTGGGACTCTAGCACATCCCCGGCTTGCCTTTATTCTTAGAGGCCATCTTTTCCGCCTCCCGAGGGGTCTTGAAGAGCAGAGGCTCGCTAGCTGGACTCTGGCCCTGAATGGAGATGGCTTGCACATGCACGATGTACTCTGTGTCCTCCTCCAGATCCCAGAGAGCGCACGATCGGGTGGTGGTGTTCACCTCCTGAATGAAGCGTAGCATCCGCACATCCTTCTTCTAAAAGGGGGAGGGCGTGGTGTGTCAGTGTGCAGGCACCAAACCCGCTTCTGATCATCATCCAGTCACCTTGGACATCATTATCTCTATAGTACAGCTAAAGAAACAGGCTGTAAGAGGTCAGGGTGTTACCCAAGGCCACACAGCTACTGAGGATGCTGGTATGCCCTAAACTCCTGCGTGCTTTTTCTGAATTTCTGAATTCCCATGTTCCAGCCCAGATCTCCTGACTTTGAACCCTCTGTGACCATAATTCTAAGCTAAATGTACAACTTGTCATCCATATCTCTCGTCCCATGTTTTTTTCCCTTTTCTGTTTCCCTGCCATCACCCTCCACCCCGGACAGACACTGTCTTCTTTTTCTTTCTCTTTTCAGTTTGTGTTGTTGTTTTTAGACAAGGGTCTGGCTGTGTTGCCTGGCTGGCCCTGAACTTGCAGTCCTTCTGCCGTGCCTCCTGCGCTCTGGGACGACAGGCATGCAGCACCAGATGGTTTTCTGTCACCATGTTGATATGCCCTCTCCCTCCGAGCACCCTCAAGGGTTACCTGCTGAGAGATGGCAAACCCGATGACCACCTCATCCTCCAGGACATCCCAGCTGACCACTGCAGAGTTGGCCTTGAGGTGCCTGACGGTGACGTTCACAGGCGCGGAGGGGCTGTCTGCAGGGCAGGGAGGTGCCTGAGCCTGAGCATGCCCTGCTCTGAGGCCCAGCCCCACCATGAATGAAAGAGGCTAAGTGGAGAGGGAAGGAGGCACCAAGGCTTCCGCTGGGCCACATGGCTCTCAGTTCCTCAGTGGCTGAGAAGCCCCGGGCTCCTGGTGACTGGTAGGGAAGCTCCTGCTTGCTATAGACTGGTCAAACCAAGGCTCCTTAGGTAAAACCGATAGCGCTGGACCTGAGCGGAGCGAGATCTAGTGGATGGATGGTGAGGTGAGGGGTAGTTGAGCAGAGTTACAGAAGCTGATTAGTCAGATGAAAAGCAGTCACAAGGACCGCTAGTCAGCCCACTGCTCTCTGTATAGCCCGCACTGTCAAGTGAGTGACCTTGAGGGAAGGAGGCAGACCCCACTAAGAAGAGCCAGGGAGGGCTGATCCCCGGCATGGGAGGGGCGACCCCAACTTTTGTGAGCTGGCAGAGTGCTCCTAAGGGTAAGGGTCTGTGTGAGCCTCTTCATATTCCATGGGGCCTCGAGTGGCAGGGAGGGAGGAGGTTAGAGAAGAGGGTGCTCAGGACAGGGCCGCTCAGTGGAGTCACCAAGATGGGGCGACTGGGTGAAGGAAGAAGATAAATGGGGGAAATTTCCGAGAGTAAGTGGGAAAACAATAAGGGAACAGGGCAGGAAGGACCTTCCGGGAGAGGAGAGGAAAGTCACACAGGGCTGTGTCTCTCAAGAGCTCAGGTGTTCTGACTAGGAGCCCTGGGCCTGAGCAGTAACTCCAAACCACTCAGATGAGTGAACTCAAGGCCCAGAATTATGCCAGACATGCAGACGGAAAGGGACAGAAGACACAGACAGGTGGCTGCGATCACAGAACCAGCGAGCAGACAAGTGGAACATTAGAGACAGACACGGAGGACACAAACAGGGCAAGGGACGAGGTGATTAGAGCGAGGCGGCGGCGGCAGCCAGGAGGGACAGATCGGGGTGATGTGGGGAGGCAGGGCCCCAGGGGTGGGCCAGACACTGGCTGTAGCGGGCTTAGTCCCTTCTCCCCCTGGCAACCTCAGGTTCCCGTTCTCTTCATGGTCGCTCCAGCACAGAGAGGTGCGGCTGCCTGTGGGTCCGTGAGATAGGTCTTTGGGGTATACAGAGGGAGGCCCAAGGTGGAGCACTGGTGTCCTCAGCTGCTCCCAGGGCCAGGAAAGGTGACTGAGGCAAAAACCCAGGGTTAGAGGATGGCCTGAAGGGATCAGGAGACATAAGACCCTAAAAGCCCAGGGAAGAGGTTAGTGGCTGAAGGACAGGTCTAGGGGTCAAGAAGGTTCAGAGGCGCTGAGGTCGGGCTCGAGGAGTAGGAAGCAGGTGACACAAGAGGTCCTCAGGGAGCGGGAAGGGAACCGAGAACTCCCCAGTGGCAGCGCGGGAGGGGAGGCTGCCCCCGCTCCGCCCGTCCCCCGCCCCGGGCCCCCTTACCCGCCTGCACCAGCGCGAAGCAGACGCAGCCCAGCCACAGGCGGAGCGCGGCGCGGGGCGGCCAGGCGCACGGCGGCCCCGGGGGCATGGCGGCTCCTGCGCCCGGCGGCCGCTCCCGCTCGCACTCCAGCCTGCGGCCCTCCCGGCCCGGCCGCCCCGCGCCGCCCCGCGCCGCCTGCATATCGGCTCCGCGGACAGCGACTCCCGCGCGGCGGCAGCGGCGGCAGCGGCCGCGTCCACGTCGGGCGCCCGGGGGGCGGGGCGCCCCCGCTGCGGGGAGAGGGCGGGGGCGGGGTTAGGACCGAGGGCGCCCCCACTGCTGTCCCCTATCCCCACTCTGTCGGCGCCCGGAAAACCAGGGGCTTCGGGGATCGGCGGCTCCCGCTCTCTGGCCGGTGCAGGAGCCGCAACACCGCGCCAGTCAGTACCAGCCCCAGTCTTGACCCGGCCCCCACCCCCCGGCCCGGCCCTTCCCCAGGGGAGAGGGAGGACAAGTGCTTGGGAGATGCCCATCTGTGCCCCACCTCTCACTCCAGCCCACACCGCAGGCACCACACACACACACACACACACACACACACACACACACACACACACACACACGCTGCAAGGGTGCAAGTAGGGTACGGACAGGGTAGCTCTGGGAAGGGGCTCGGTGTGCCCACTGGGACTGAGGAGGGTTTCCTTTGATTCCCTGGAGGTATAGCTGAGACCCCAGGCCAGTCTTTTCTTTTTCTTATGCCTATTTTTAATCCCCTCGAGAGCACTGTGAGCATCTGCTAGGCGCAGACACTGCCGGCCTTGCTTGGATTTGGGAGGACTTCGTCCTCACTGCAGCCCCTTAAAGTTGACTCCGCTGTGGGCATTTCGTGTAGACGGACACTGCAGTTTGAACAGCTGTTTCGTGCAAGGACCCTCCACAGTCACGATTTGAACCCAGGGTCCTTTGGGCTTGACTCAACAGACTCCCGACCCAGAGTGACTTCACACCAATCTCTCTCTATAGAACTGCTCACATTCTGGATTATTAAAAGAACAATCTGGAAACATGTTTCTTCAAGAACAGAGGGGCGGAGGCTGTGGTTTCCGGAGGCTTTTGGGACCACTCTGCCCATTCTGAGCATTGATTTAGCTAATGACTCTGAAGTGCTAGGGGCTGGGAGATGTGGCAGAGAGCTTCAGCTAATTAACACTTTGCTAACCCTTTCTTCACTGCCTCGGGAACCACCCTTCTGTCCGCTCCTTTGATGGTCTTAGAGGTAGAGAGGAGACCTTGCCTCCAGTCCCCACTATCCTTTCCCTAAAGGGGAATTGCTACAGGACAGCAGAAAGCCCCTAACCCCAGCCTGTGACATTTGTTAACTCAAGCCCCAGTCAGAGGAGCAAGACTGAGGATGGAGGCTAGACCAGAGAGCGTCTCCTGACGCAAAGGGCCATGCTCTGTCACAACAACACCCCCTCCCATCTGAAAGCTCACCATTGGGTTGTGGGCGGGACACAACTTTGTCATAGGTTTTCCGGAGATCTCTTCCCAAAGAGGGTGAACAAGGACCTTCAAGGCCTTCCATCCGGCTTTCGATTAAGAAACAGAGGCACACAGATAGAGGCCCCGCCAAGGGACAAAAGACACCCCAGAAAACTCCTATACTAATACCTCCCCAAGGACTCTTCCCCTGCACCCCCAAGCTTCTACCTGGACCCCTGGGAAGAATGAGGTGGGAGGGGACTCAGGTGGGAGGGGACTCAGGTGGGAGGGGACTCAGCGGGTTCTGTTGAACTTTCCAGTCACACCACCCAGCCCTCTGTACCCCCAGGACTGCCATGATGGGCAGGCTTACATCCCTACACACACACACACACACACACACACACACACACACACACACACACACACACACACACACACACACACACCGTGCCGCGTTTCCTTGGTCACATATCCTGTCCTGGGGATAAGCCTCCTCCGCTGGAACCTTGTTGGGACCTGGACCTAGACCGCAGCCCAGCCAGGGCCCTTCCCCTTTCTTTTTCTCTTTCTCTTTTGGCAGCTGCTGCCTGCCCCGCCCTAAAGCCCCACCCCACCAACTGCGGCTTAACCCCCAGGGACCTTCCCCAGACTACCAGGGGGCCTGCGGGAGCAACCGGAGTGGAGTCTTTCAGTTAGCCATTACGGCAGCCGCAGGAAAGAGGGGTCAGATAGAGGTCATAGAATCCAGTTTTATCCTGGCTGAGGAAAAAAGGAGAGGGTCTGAGTGGCCTATAGTCCAGTGAAGGGGAGAGGGGAGCCTCCACGCCACCTGCTGGCCATGCTGGGGATCCCCCCCAAGCTAATGTAGGGCGTTAGGAGGGGGAAAGGGCAGCGATCACTGGGAGCAAAGGCCGCAAGGCAGACTTGAAGACTTTGAAGAGTTGTGGCGTGGAGTGTAGCCTTCCCAGGGCTCATGAGAGGCTTGGGCATCGTCTCAGTTCTGAAGGAAGCCCTGGCTTGGAATCTAGCGCCCAGAAGGAGCTGGTTAAGGGCAGTAAGAACTGATGGGACCCGGAGGTGCCTGAGGGAGCCTGGGAAAGGGTTTCTCAGCACTGCTTGCTTTGTAAATACACCAGTCGGTGCTTCTCGCCTAGGCACAGCGCTAAGGCTACTAATACAGAAGGGAAATCAGTAATGTCTGTTGACTGTCCAGAACAAATTCATCCATCCAACATTTATTTATTGAGCACCTACTATGTACCCCATTCCAGGCAACATTCAGAAGAACACACAAACATATGAGCTGGGGTGGGAAACGGGAGGGTCTGGAGAGGAGGAATGCATCCTCCCTGGCTGCATTCCTGTTTCTCTACATGTATGACTCTCTGAAGACACAGACACTTAGGGACTCGCCAACTTTTGGACGTTCTTAGATGTCAAGATTCTCAGAGCCAGGGCTGGAGAGATGGCTCAGCTGTTAAGAGCACTGGCTGCTCTTCCAGAGGACCTGGGTTCAAATCACAGCACCCACAACTGTCTATAATGAGATCTGATGCCCTCATCTGGTCTGCAGGTATGCATGCAGACAGAACACTGTATACACAATGAATAAATAAATCTTTAAAAAAAAAAGATTCTCAGAGCCTAGGGCTGGAGAGATGGCTCAGAGGTTAAGAGCACTGGCTGCTCTTCCAAAGGTCCTGAATTCAATTCCCAGCAACCACATGGTGGCTCACAACCATCTATAATGAGATCTGGTGCCCTTTTCTGGTGTGCAGAAATACATGCCAGCAAAAAGCTATATACATAATAAATACATCTTTAAAAAAAAGTCTCAGAGCCTATCTCTATCATGGATTGCCATCTAGAATAGGAAGGGTTGTGTCCAATCTTGGGCTCTTTAGACACAGCCCACAGCCCCAAGTCACAGGGAGACTCAGGAGATTGCTTTGGGGTACAATAAGGGAGATCTTCACTCTTGAATCGAGTGGTTTGCCTGAGACCACACAGACAATGAACTATGAGCTGTGTCTAAAATCCATGGCTTCAAGCTGGGGACCTTATCTGGCATGCCTGTCACCCCCAATCCCTTACCTCTAAGGACCTTTCTGGTAGGGCTCCGGGGCATTCTTCTACAGAGGACCCAAGGGTGGGATGCTCACAGGGAAAGTGGCCAAGCTCACGGACCCGCTGCTCACCAAAGTTTTCCCTGTTCCAAAGTCCTCACACCTGACAGCCAGGAACGTGACAGCCATGCTACAGATGAAGAAACTGGTGCTCAACAAGAGAAAATGGTTGGCTGTGGGTTGTACAGGCAGAAGACACGGTCTGCCTTTTCTAAGCTCAGACGTCCTCATGGTGCTGCAGTTAGGCCAGGCTCATGTTTTCTAAGGTCCTACGACAAGCCAATCCTGTCGGGGCTGGGTGCTGAGGACACAGTCATGATCCAGATTGGTTCTGGTCCTTGAGCAGCTCCCATGGTCAGGGATGAGGAAGACGATGTTCTCGGAACACTAGGAGGACTGTGCTTCCAGACAGGGCACCCGACCTTCAGGGGCAGAAGACGGGCTTTACTGGGAAGGAAGCAAGGAGGGCTTCTAGGAGGAGGCAATGTCTGACTTACTGAGCACTGAAAGCCAGCCAGGAGGCTGGGCGGTGGTGGTGCACGCCTTTAATCCCAGCACTCGGGAGGCAGAAGCAGGCGGAACTCTGAGTTCAAGACCAGCCTGGTCTACCGAGCGACTTCCAGGACAGCCTCCAAAACAATACAGAGAAACCCTGACTCGAAAAACCAAAAAAAAAAAAAAAAAAAAAAAAAAAAAGAAAAGAAACAGAAAAAGAAAGAAAGCCAGCCAGGAACAAGAGGAGAAAGGAGGGGGAGTGGGAAGGAGAAGAAAGATGGAGATCACAGGGTGTGTGTACGTGGAGGGGAGGAAGGGGAAACAGTGCTCACACGGAGTTACTGGCCCTGGATTAAAACATCAGGAGCAAGCGAAACAAGACTAGTTGTGAGAGGCTGTTCGGAGCAGCTTGCAAAAGAAGACGGGGTCACCTACAGTAGCTTCATTCGTTCAAGGCTCACTGGGAAGCTACCAGGTCCTAGGGACACACTGTGCACAAGGCAATCTCTTTGTGGGTCTCACATCCCAGTGAGACAAACATGGTCAGGAGAGATGGCCCAGCAGTTAAGAGCACTGGCTGGTCGGTCTTCCAGAGGATCCAGGTTCGGTTCCCAGTACCCCATAGCAGCTCACCACTGTCTGCAACTCCTGTTCCAGGGGCTCCAATGCCCTCTCTGGCCTCCTCAGACACAGGCGTGCATGTGCTGGCAGACATACAGATTCCGAAACTAGAAATCCCTGGCTAGGTGATGCTGGGTCAGTAACTCCAGCTCTCTGGCCTCCACTGCGGTCTCTTGAAAAGGAGGCTTTTAGCACACACACTACAGAGGAGCTGATGGTGGGGATGGAGAGGAGAGGCAGAGGAGGAGAGGGAGGAAGAACCTCTCCCCAGGGCTCTTCAGATTTTCATTCGGGTCCATTTCACATTGGCCATCTTACCCAAGGCTCACAAAGCCAGATCCGATCTGCCCTGCGCCTCAAACATCAGCTCTAAGTTTGCCCCTGGAGACAGTTTCTCGGCTAAACACCACGGCCACCCGCATCTCTC